GGTCTACACTCAGTTGGAGCTGCATATGTATACCCAGTCTTTCTGGTGATCATAGAAAATGGATAGCCAAACTTTTAAAGTACTGGCTTTGTCCTTGAGAATAAAGCAGAACAATTCCCCGGATAAGTAAATTTTTTCTTGGCACAATTTTCCAAAGAAAATATCTTACAATGGGTTTTCTTTTTTTTTTTTTTGCCGCACCCCGAGGCTTGTGGAATCTTACTTCCCCAACCAGGGATTGAACCCACGACCCAGCAGTGAGGGTGCTGAGTCCTAACCACCGGCCCACCAGGGGATTCCCACAATGGGTTTTCATAGAGATAGTGTTGGAAACAATATTGACAGTAACAATCCTGTGATGAATATAACATCAGTTTTCCTATGACTTTCTTTTTATAAATTTTTATTTATTTATTTGGTTGCACCAGGTCTTAGTTGCAGCAGGCGAGCTCCTTAGTTGTGGCTCGCCTGCTCCTTAGTTGTGGCATGCAAACTCTTAGTTGAGGCATGCATTTGGGATCTAGTTCCCTGACTGGGGATTGAATCCAGGCCCCCTGCACTGGGATCGTGGAGTCCTAACCAGTGTGCCACCAGGGAAGTCCCTCCTGTGACTTTCTTAGATTGTTCCCTAGAATAAGCAGAGAACATAGTGCCAAGAAGTGCTATATGAACTCAATTTGTAAGTCCAGGTACATATCCTTTTTAATATTCACCTGGATCCATAAGTAAACCTTGCTCCTTTTCCAGAGTCTTCAGCAATTCTTGAGCATTTTCTCTTCCATGTGAATTTAAAAATCAGCTTGTCAAGGTCCATAAGGGGGTGTGTTAGGTATTTTTATTGATTGCATTACACTTTTAGATTAATTTGGAAAGAATTCATAACTTTTCAATAATGAGTTCTCCATTTTTTTTATTGAACTAGAGTTGATTTACAATGTTGTGCCAATGTCCGCTGTACAGCACAGTGACTCAGTTATACACATAGCGACATGCTTTTTTCATATTCTTTTCCATTTTGGTTTTTCACAGGATATTGAATATAGTTCCCTGTGCTATACGTTAGGACCTTGTTGTTTATCCATTCTAAATGTAATAGTTTGCATCTATCAACCACAAACTACCAGTCCATCCCTCTCCCTCCCCTCCTCCCCGTTGGCAACCACATGTCTGTTCTCTATGTCTGTGAGTCAGTTTCTGATTTGTAGATAGGTTCATTTGTGCCATATTTTAGATTCCACATATAAGTGATATCATATAGTATTAGTCTTTCTCTTTCTGACTTACTTCACTTAGTATGATAATCTCTAGTTGCATCCATGTTGCTGCCAATGGCATTATTTTGTTCTTTTTTATGGCTGAGTAATATTCCATTGTATATATGTACCACATCTTCTTTATCCATTCATCTGTTGATGGACTTTTAGGTTGTTCCCATGTTTTGGCTATTGTGAATAGTGCTGCTGTGAACATAGGGGTGCATGTATCTTTTTGAATTATAGTTTTATCCGGGTACATTCCCAGGAGTGGGATTGCTGGGTCATATGGTAATTCTATTTTTAGTTTTCTGAGGGACCTCCATACTGTTCTCCATAGTGGCTGTACCAACTTACATTCCCACCAACAGTGTAGGAGGGTTCCCTTTTCTCCACACCCTCTCCAGCATTTGTTATTTGTGAGTTCTTCATTTTATTCAGTGTTTTTTGGTCCTTCATTACAGTTTTATAGGTTTAGTATGGTAATTCTTTTACATTTCTTATGATGTTTATTCTTACATATGGTTTAAGTTGCTATTGAGAATGGAATGGATCTTTTTTCATTATATTTTCTAATTGGCTATTCTGGTGTAGAGGAAAGTATGGATTTATCTCTGACTTTATGTCAACTTACAGAACTCTTACTAAGTCCAAGAGTTTTTTAGTTGATTCTTAGATTTTCTAGATAGACCATCATATACTCTTCAAATGGAGTTTTGTCCCTTATTGCCTAATATGTAGGTTCCATATTTTTTTCTTGTCTTATGTCAATGGACAGGACTTCTAATAACTATAATTTTGAATGTAATTTCTAGCCAGAATCTTTTTTGTTCCAGTTTTAGTGGGAATGCTTCCAGTGTCTTACTGTTTCCTCTTGTAATCTGGTCGATAGTTGTTTTTCTGTTTTGTTTTGTTTTTTAAATCAAGTTAAGGATTTTTGGCTTGTTAAGATTGTTTTCATAAATTGGGAACTTTTTTCCTCATATCATTTTTTTTATACCTGTCAATAAAATAATATATTTTTTCTTTAATATAACAGTTTAAAGAATTTCTAATACATTTCCCAATATTGAACTATCTGTGCATTCCTGGCATAAACCCTGCCTAGACTCTTAACTTTTTTTTTTTTTAATATTTATTTATTTATTTGGCTGCACCAGGTCTTAGTTGTGGCATGTGGTATCTTCGTTGCCGTGTGCGGGATCTTTAGTTGTGGCATGCAGGCTTTTTTAGTTGCAGCATGTGAATCTAGTTTCCTGACCAGGGACTGAACCCAGTCCCCCTGCTTAGGGAGCGAGGAGTCTTAACCACTGGACCACCAGGGAGTCCCTCTCTTAACTTTTTAAAGGGACAGATAGTAAATATTTTAGGCTTGAAGGCCATATAATCTCTGTGGCAACTACTCAACTCTGCTCTTGTAGTTGAAGTAAACAAATGGACATAACTATGTTCCAGTTACATTTTATTTACAAACACAGGTGGTCAACCTGTGGGTTGTAGTTTGCTGACACCTGCTTTATATGGTCTTAACTATCTCTTTGCAGTAGGCATGTTACCACATGCCTTTTTAATTTCAGTTTAAGTTAAACATGATTTTGACTTTATGGTTGAGAGGATATATTTTATCATATTAAAAAATCTGGGGGCTTCCCTGGTGGCGCGGTGGTTGAGAGTCCGCCTGCTGATGCAGGGGACACGGGTTCTTGCCCCAGTCTTGGAAGATCCCACATGCTGTGGAGCGGCTAGGCCCGTGAGCCATGGCCACTGAGCCTGCGCATCCGGAGCCTGTGCTCTGCAACAGGAGAGGCCACAACAGTGAGAGGCCCGCATACCACAGAAAAAAAAAAATCTGTATTTTTCTATTTTATTATGCTTATGTGAGTCTGGCGTATTAACCTTATAGCTCCTCTAACATCTGATTACCTTTACATGTTTGTTTTGCAGTGTCTAATAGATCGTAAGATCTCTGGGGGCAGTAATAATTTTATTTTTTGTATCTCTAGTACTGTACTTGGTATGTCCTCATTGAATATTGTATGAGTGAATGAATGAAGAACATATAAGTAATATTTTAAAATAATTTTTAGACATAATTCACATATTACAAATTCACCCATTTAAAATGTATACAATTTAGTGGGGTTTTTTTAGTATATTATCATAATTGTGAAACCATCACCACTAATCTCAGAACATTTTCATTACTCTCAAAAGAAACCCCATATCCATTAGCAGTCACTCCCCATTCCTTCCTTCCCCCAGCCCTGAATTACTTTATGTTTATATGTATTTGCCTATTCTGAACATTTCATACAAATGGAACCATACAATATGTGATTTCTTGTGACTGGCTTCTCTCACCCAGCACAAAATTTTCAAGGATCATCTATGTTGTAGAGTCCTTTTTATTGCTGAATAATATTGGATCATATGGATGTACCTCATTTTGTTTATCTATTTATTAGTTGATGGATACCCGTATTGTTGCCACTTTTGCCTATTATGAATAATTCTGCTATGGGCATTTGTGTACGGTTTTTTCTTTGTGGGGGGGATTATGATTTCAATTCTTTTGCGTATATACCTAGGAAAAATTGCTGGGTCATATGGTGACTCTATGTTTGACATTTTGAGGAACTCCTGAACTGTTTTCTATAGTTGCTACACCATTTTACAGTTCTACCATCAATGTATGAGAGTTCCAGTTTCTCCCTATCCTTATTAACACTTGTCATTGTCTGCCTTTGATTTTAGCCATCCTAGTGGGTATAAAGTGATACCTCATTGTGGTTTTAATTTGTATTTACTAATGATGTTGAACATCTTTTCATGTGCTTATGGACCATATCTGTTTTTGGAAAAATGTCTGTTCAAACCCTTTGCCCATTTTTAAATTGGGTTTTCTTTTTATTGTTGTGTTGTAAGAATTCTTTTTATAATTTAGATACAAATTTCTTTTTAGATATATGATTTACAAATATTTCCTCCTATTTTGTGAATTTTCTTTTTCACTTTCTTCATGGTGTCCTTTGAAGCTTAAAAATATTTAATTTTGATGAATTCCAATTTATCTATTTTTTTTTCTTTTGTCACTTACACTTTTTCTGTCATGTGTAAGAAACCATTGCCTAATCCCAGGTCATAAAGATTTACTCCCTTGTTTTCATCTAAGAATTATATACACAGGTTTGAACCGTGTGGGTCCACTTATATGTAGATTTTTTTCAATACATACATACTACAGTACTACATGACCTGTGGTTCGTTGAATTCGTGGTTGTGGAACCACAGATATAGAGGGCTGTAAAGTTATTATGTGGATTTTTAACTGTGGGGAGGTTGGCACCCCTAACCCCCAAGTTGTTCAAGGGTCACATCTAGTTTTAACTCTTACACATAGGTCTCTGATCCATTTTTAGTTCATTTTTATATATGATGTGAGGTGTGTGTTTTGAGGGGAGTCCAACTTCATTTTTTTGCATGTGGAGATCCAGTTGTTCCAACACCATTTGTTTAAAAGACCATTCTTTCCCCCATTGAATTATCCTGGCACTAGTTGAATATTTTTAATATAATTTTTGTTTCTATCACAAAGTATATTTCTGAATCAGGTGTACAGTAGTTATCATACATTACTTTCTGAAAACTCAACAATGAACATGATATGATCCTAAGAGGCTGCCATGATTCTCTTACAAGTCCCCAAATGATGCACACTTTAGTTTGAAGATCCATGTACTATTACAGGGATCAGTGACACTCCAGGATGTGGCTGTGGAATTCACCCCAGAGGAGTGGCAGCTGCTTGACTGTGATCAGAGAACCTTGTATTGGGATGTGATGTTGGAGAACTTTAGAAACCTCATCTCAATGGGTAAGGACAGTGGGTGGTAACTTTTCAGTGTAACTCATTATGTTTTAATAGTGCCCTTCCTTTAAGACCTGCGAAAGCTGTGAACATTCTGAAGCATTAATAAGTTTGTCCCTGAATTTTAGTGGTCAAAGATTCTTAATCCCCTTTGGGGATCAGATAATTTGTTTAATGCTTTTGCCTCCCAAATGAAGAAGGGTCTTTTCTGTTCTAAAGCTTGTCTGTCATCTTCACAGGCCCTAAGACTCCAGGAGGCAAACCCGAATTGTGAGGTAGTCGTTTGTTCCTAGCACCTTGTCCCCAGTTCTGTGTTGTTTCCCATGAACAGGGTGTCCAGTCACCAAAACAAAAGTGATCTTCAAGGTGGAGCAAGGACAAGAGCCATGGATGGTGGAGGGAGAGAACCCACGTTGGCGCTCTCCAGGTGAGTCAGAGAAAGCAGGTAGATGGGAGTCTCTGGAACTGAGATCCCAGTTGGTGAGTGAGGGACAGGCACCTCTGAAATACTTTTCAGGAAGCACCTCTTAAAACCACACACCTTTGAAAGTGACTGGGTACACCTGACACAACATCCTCAGATCCCCAGGTGACACCTTCACTTCCACTCTTCCACGTGGCTGCTCTTTCTGTTTCTCAGCTCTTGTGTGGGAGGATGTCCTTCCTCTCTGCTCTGGCTCCTCACGCTGCCTGTTGCATCGAAGCGCTTGTTGGCTCTCGCAGTTCTTAGAATCCTCATTCTTTTTCCCTCCTCAACATGATGGCAGATCTTTCCATACATCTGTTTCTAATAATGTAGTCAGATTATGTGGATTTGAAGTCTTATTCCACCAACCTCTGTCTAACATAATTATTTTGTAGCACAACTTTATTTATAAAATAGGGATAATATGACTTTTTACCTCAGGTTTTTGTAAAGATTATATTAGTTAATACAAGCAAAACCCTTCATATAGTGGCAGACAGTAAGTGTTCAGCATATGTTAGTTGTTTTTATTTCAAAACTTTTATAACATATGTTCTTCCTAATTTTTTTCCTTTTTAAAAAAAACTCGTTCCTTTTCTTGCAGCATATACTCCCCCTGTGTACCCTACCTTACTCATCTTTAGTCTTACGGCTAACTTGGGGCATCTACCTTCTAGTGCATCTTTCTGCTTCACTTGATAATATTGATATCTTTTGGAAATTGTTCTCCAACTTGATTTGAATTAGTTCCTCACTAATCTGCCCTCACCCTTTCTCACAGCTTATTCACTGTTTGCTGTTTGACTTCTCTTGCATCTTCTGAAATTCTGTCCACAGTAACTCCCTCAGAAACTTCATCACTCTAAAGACTACAGTTATTTATTTTGTTCCATCTCCAGCATCCTTGCCTCACCAGCTTTCCATTCCCATAATTTTACCCTACCTGGCCTTATTGTCTGTTTTTTCATAGTAACCAATTTTTAATATTCTTCAACCCTTTACCTTTATCCTTACAATAAAAGGTAGTGACTGGTCTCCTGCTCTGTAGTCACAAAATCACTGTGGTAAGCAATTTGGCTTTTTCTCTTAAGAATTTCTCCTTAAATACTATTGTGACTTATTACCTATAATTTCAACTATTAGTTTATCCAAGACTGACTCAAAATAAAATCTTCCCTTTGCACAGAGTCCATAAAAGAAGTATGTTTCAAATGATTTAGATACCAATTAGATGTGTTTTAGATTCCCTGGAACCCCAATTACTACTGGCATAAACCAAATGAATTTTAACTCCTGATACGGTATCTTGGCTGTTTATGTAAATACTTATATTGCCAATTCCAGCCTACTTTCTGGTTTATCTTAGATGTTCTTGCAAGATTTATCTGAATTATTTCATTTTGCTTGTCACTCTTCTGACAAACATGTTATTCCTGTATCACCTGTATTATGGTATTTAAATGGCTTATCCCTCTGTATGTGATCCCATGTTTACCCAGAATTGTCCATCTTTTCCCTATTCCATGCAATTAGACTCTTTAGCATCCTCTGTACACAGTTTTCTTTTCCGCATTAGTCCTTTTGATTCTGATGCGCTCCATCTAACTAAAACCTTTACGGAAAGCTCGGCCTCTCTGTACAGCGATGCTGAATCAAATCACAGAGTTCTGGGTGAAGTAGAAGAGGATAGCTTTATTGCTTTGCCAGGCAAAGGGAGACACACTGGGCTTCTGCCTTGAAAAACTATGTGTCTCTCCCCCAGAGGATTTGATTAAGGGCTTTATAACAGGGGTTCAAAGGTGGGGTCCTGACAAGATTAGGGTGTGAGCAGGGCTTGCACTCCCTCAGTCTCAGGTGGTCTTCTCTTAATCTTGATGAGCTTCTCTGGTCCCTTTAATCCTGCCTCAGGTGGTTTCTTAGCTGCTCCTCCCTTGATTAGCAACTGTTCAAATCCACCCTTTGGAACTCAGGGAAGGTCATGGAGGCTGGAGTCTTGCCTGGAAGAAATGGTGGACAAAAGGAGGCCTCAGCGCCCAGGCCTCACGGTTTCAGTGCCTGGGAGCCCCTCAAGGCCCCACTCCTTTTCAAAGGCAGCATGCTATGAAGTCTGAATTCAGTTTTCTCCTCTTTCATGGTAACTTTAGCCTACATTGATCTCTGCCTTCTTCGAATTCCCATCCCAACTCTACTATGGCTCTGTCAGTGAAAACTTGACATATACTATCTCAGATTTTTTTTTTTTAATCCTGTGGCTTTTAAGACTTTTTTAAAAAAAAAAAACCTGTGGCTTTAAGGCATGTTTTCTCATGATTACTCCCTGAAGAGAAAGTCCAGTATCATTTTTTTTCTTCATACCATTGCTGAGCACATCATGGACATTCAATGAATATTTAATTAATTCATTTTTGTAAAGTCAGGGATTGTGGGGATGTTTCTTATCCTTTCATTCAACAAGGCTTTTTAATGTTTCCTGAGAAGGATTCAAATAAAGAAAAAAAAATTGTTTTTCCAGGTGTGTAAACTGTAGTTGAAAAGGCAGAACATAGCCATATATTTTAAAATTTGATGAATGTGGAACATTTGTTCAATGCACAGTAACATTGAGGTTTTAATCCAGTTAGTGGTCAAAATAAATGGTTTAGGCAGCAGTGATGACTGTCTTAGAAGTTCAGAGAAAATGGAGCCTAAAGTTTAAAGTAGGCAAAGACTGGAGGAGCCTCTTTTTTAAGATCATGGAACAATGGCGCCTCCCTAAAGGATATCTAAATACTAGATAGGATGAGAGAGGATGAAGGAGGGCAAGTTAAGGTGGGGAAGGAACATGAGCAAATGATTATAGCTATTTAGAATCTAGAATCCTTGGAACAGAAGTAGGTATTTGTTGAGGGCTAGAGTAGTGCATGCTTAGATACCATGAGTGAATTCATTGTATTGCATATTTTTGTTCACCAGGCTGATTACCCTGGATTTTTCAGTTGGTTATTGTTGGCCAAGGTAACACAGGATGCTGCTTCTCAGTGGTTGAAGTAGAGAGGAAAGAAGACAGGAACCCAGTCCCCACATTTAGAACCACTCAATAAAAAAATGTGTATTAATGGCTATAGCCCACTACTCAGCCAGCTCCACAGAGGATAAGGCATGTAGCAAAAGGCTAGGGGTATTGTAGTAACTCCACATGGAAGGAAATTCAGGAGTGGGGAATTATAACCCCCTCCCTAAATTTTTTTTGTTTTTAATGGAACAGTGGATTGGGGATTTATAGGGTTTTGAGACTAGGAGTTAAAAATGTGACTTCAGGAGCAAAGAGGCTTTCTGGGGATTAGTTTATTAGGCAGATTGAAAGAGGATGTAAAAGCAGTACTTGTCGTATATCAAAACTTAGCCTGAATAAAAATGGTAACAAGCAAATAGAATCTGTACTTGTGCTAGGAATAGCACACCCTTGAATGACCTGCTAGACCTTTGTGTTCCTGGGCTTACAAGTACGTGTAAGAATGAATCCCAGCTGTAGTAGTGTTGGAGCCCTGTCTACAGATATGTCTCAGCCGTGGTTTGGATGAGGTTAGAGGGTTGGAGATAGAAAAATATTCCTGAAGGGAAATGACATTGTGCCAGATGATCAAGAGGAAAAAGAGATATGAATGAGGGAAATAAGGAGCTATTCTACCTGGGTAATCTAGGAATTAGGTAGTAAGGACCCTGATTCTGATCTCCCTTCTCCAAATCTAGTTTTCCCTCTGATATTTTCCCTTAACTCCCTTGTCTCTTGTTCCCCTGGCTTCCCAGTCCATTGATCACATCTCCACAGTGGGCTCTCATCATTCTGTGAGCTAACCATATGCCCTTGTTGAGCAATTGAGCAACTTTTTGATTTCCTTTGTACCCTCCTTACTGTACCTTGTGCTATTTTACTGTCTTGCCTCAGGTCACCAGTTAAGCCATCTGTTCTCATTGTCATTCTGTGCTCCCATTTCCTCTTTAGCAGTTTTATTCTTAAAGCTCAGGATCAAGGCAAATACAGATTTGTTTCAGAATGAGAGACTAGATTTGGAATCATATATGTTTCTATAACTGTTGATGGCAAAGATTAACTAGGAATGTTTCACTGTACTCCTTTTTAGAAGCTGACTGCCCACTTATTGATGAATCAGACAAGCACCAGGAAAGCAAAGACAATTTTTTGAATTCAGTTTTGTTCATGTTCAATAAAATTCTGACTGTGAAGAGACTTCATGGTTATAATATGAGCACAAGTCTTAATCCTACAAGAAAAAAATCATATAAATGTAAGTCATATAGGAAGAGTTTGCAACCTACTTCAGACTTACTTAATTGTAATAGATGTTATACTGGAGAAAACTCTTATGAATGCAGTGAATGTGGGAAAGCCTTCAAAACGAAGTTTCATTTTATTAGACATGAAAAAAATCATACAAGAAAAAAACCCTTTGAATGCAATGACTGTGGGAAAGCCTATAGCAGGAAGGCTCACCTTGCAACTCATCAGAAAATACATAATGGAGAGAGACCCTTTGTGTGCAGTGATTGTGGGAAAGCGTTTACACATAAAGCACAACTCGTGGTCCATCAGAGACTCCACACTGGAGAGAAACCTTATGAATGTGGTCAATGTGGAAAATCATTCACCTGGAAATCCTCCTTTACTCAACACGTGAAATCACATACACTTGAGAACTCATTTGAATGTAAGGAATGTGGGAAAACCTTCAGGTATAGTTCATCCCTTTATAAACACTCTAGATTTCATACAGGAGAGAAACCCTATCGATGCATCGTGTGCGGCAAAGCCTTTGGCAACACTTCTGTGCTTGTTACGCATCAAAGAATTCACACAGGAGAGAAACCTTATGGATGTATTGAATGTGGCAAAGCCTTCATCAAGAAGTCTCACCTCCTCAGACATCAGATAATTCATACAGGAGAAAAGCCCTATGAATGTAGCAAATGTAGGAAAGCATTTTCCCAGAAGTCAAATCTTATTGTACATCAGAAAATTCATATGTAATATTCACTTATGAATCTGAGAAAACTTTAAATATTTGATAAACCTTATTAAATAGAGAATTTATGGTGAGGAGAAATCCACCAGTCTGAATGAATTGGAAGAATAAATTCCCATTAAAAAAACCAATGCCAATCATGTTCTGCAAGTGATAATAAAGTTTTTAGAGAAAAGATCACAGAAAAAGTTAATTTATAAATGCACATAGAGCTTGGAAAGTAAGCATAAATTAAACAATCAAAGAATCAGTGAAAACTATGTTTACCATCTCTGATTTTTAATTCTTATAACAAATTATTCAATTATGCAAATGAGTATAAAATATGTTTATATTATATATTAAATTATATCTATTAAGAGTTTCTGCAGTAAATTTCACCATTTTTTTCTTCCAATCCTAACAGTAACATGCAAGTGAAAACATGTGGTTTAATATGTAGTATGAATTTCAGTAATATTTTCACCCATTTGCTGGCACTTTTAAGGGGTATGGCAGTGTTACTGAATCTCATTCTCAAACTTTTTATAAAGATGTATAGAATTACACATATGTATAATTTAACAAGATACCAATTGAGAGGGGGAAAGCAGTTGTATTCTGTATTACAGTAAGTACTCAGTTGAGGAAAAGAAGTATTTAAATAAGTGTGTAAATAAAACATTTGCCCTTCAAATATTCCTGTTCTTTTTCATTGATGTATTTACCTAAGGTGTAAATATAGCTCAAGTAGTAGTTAACTAGGGTATCATCTACATTTCATTTTAATAAACTAGAGTGTCATGATACTTTGCAACTTTCAGGGAGTGAGCTTTGGGGTCTATTTTTTGTTTTCTTGTAAGAAATTGATACAGGTTTAGCTCCTAGGGGTGCCTGGAATTTACCATGTGACAGCACAGGCAGCATTAATCGAGTTGAAAAGAGCACTATTTTTGCTCAGCAACTTCACTTTGGAACGTGACATTTTGTAAGTTCCACATATTACCTTTAAAGGATGAAGCAAACTTTTTTTTTTTTTTTTTG